AGCACTACCTGTGGGAAATTCAGCTTCCTCATCCCTCTGTGAACTTTTCCTCTGAGCTACAGCTGTAGAAAACCCTTAGCAGCCCATTCAGCTCCAGCAGAGTTCAGTTCTGCTCCTATATCCTGATTAATCCTTAGTGCCCCAGAATCCTAAAGTGTCCTTCTTCATTCACCACAGTATCATCTATAACTCTGGGATTTTTCCTCACCCATTTCTAGTTGTCTTCTCCAGAAAAACACCACAAATATTCCTGGGATTGTGTGTCCTATTTCACCACTGACCTGGCTGGAATAAATCACTTTGCTGTGCCTCAGTGTCTTTAGGCACCCTTTAACCATGAGAGAAGGAGTTAATTTGACTGCCCTGTTTATTAATGTGTTGAAATTCCTACAAAAGAAAAAACAAATTACATTGCCTACCTAGCAGAAAGAAATTTTTAAAACAGTAATAACTGAGAAAAGCATTGTCTGAATGAAATGAAAACACTGCAGAGGTTGCCTTGCTCCCTTGACCAAGGTTTTCTGTTATCCCACTTTATCTCAGCACAGATCTAAAAGATCTGACAGACAATCAGAGCCCTGAAGAACAGCTCAGCTGAACTGATTTTGGGGTAATTCACCAGAACTCAATTTCAGCTGTGGCTGTCTCACCTGAACCAGTGGAGACACCCTGAAGACTGGGGGTTTTACGTCTAGAAAAGGCTCAGAAAACACAGGAAGAGACACTGAGGAAAGCAGCAGGGGCTCAGGTGACACCAGTATCTCTCTCCACCCTTTGCTGAGCTCTCCTGGCACGAACACAGCACAAAGGATTCGCCCGCGTGCTCAGCCCACTCAGCCACCCCTTTGTGCAAACAGCACTGACACAACCTCCCAGAGCAAACCCAGAACAGAGGGGAAACTTGCCTTTTGAGTGCCTCCTGGGCGCCGGGCACGGCCGAGTCCTCGATGTGGAGGGTGCCATTGAGATCCACCAGCACGGCCTTCAGCGCGCGCCGTGCCGCCATCGCGCCCGGGGACAGGCCGAGGCACCCCGGGACTGCTGAGGAGTTAAAAAAAAAACCACATAATTCATATGGAGGGAGGTGGTTTTCCTCACAAAGACTCAGTGGAAATCGGGTGCTGTTTGTTCTTTAAGTGCATCAAAATAAAATAATGTTGTCTGGAGGACTCAAGGGTTCCGGGGAGAGAGGGGGCCATTAGGTCTGGGGATGCTGGGCGCAAGGCCTCAGCAAGAATATTTCAGCAAGTCCTGCCGACACCAACACTGAAAATAAAGACACAGCGCTCTAAAGCTGCATCTCTAAAGCTGCATTTTGGCTGTAAAGCTCAAAATGCTCGGCCAAAGTGGAAATTGTTGGTTTTGTCTTTGTAAGAGTGATGCAGACCACACCGCAGCCACTCTGAGGCTGCTCAGTGGTGACAGTGAGGATTTTTGCAGATTTTTAGCCAGGAAGCTGTCAGGGCTCAGGCAAATCCAGCACCTTGAAGGTCATTCCACGCTCTTGAAAAAGGGGCAGTTTTTCTGGTTCCATGTGCCCAGCCCAAAATAAAAGCCAGAATTTGAAGGATACAGGCACCAGGGGAGGAACAGAGAGGTGATGTTTGAGTCCCCTGGCTAAAGATCTGTCTCCAGAAACAAACACTTCCCCTCATTTGGGCTGCAAGCACTGCATTTTACTCCATGAAGAAGTCTGAGGAGCTGTTTATCAGAAAATGTCCAATACAGCTCCAATACAGCATGGTTTTCTCCTGTTCATTAGACAAGAACCATCTGAAAAGGCTGACAGAGTTGGGATTATAGAAGAGAAGCTTCAGGGTGATCTGATTTTGGCTTTTCAGTACCTGAGGGACAATTTCCAAGTGATAGAGGGACAGCACCCAGGCAATGGCTCCCACTGCCAGAGGGCAGGCACAGATTTTGGGCTCTTGGCAATTAGGAATTGCTGGCTGGGAGGGTGGGCAGGCCCTGGCCCAGGGTGCCCAGAGCAGCTGTGGCTGCCCCTGGAAGTGCCCAAGGCCAGGCTGGATGGGGCTTGGAGCAGCCTGGCACAGTGGAAGGTGTCCCTGCCCATGGCAGGGGTTGGGATGGGATGAGCTTTAAGGTCCCTTTCTATCCAAACCACTCTGAGATCTGCCAACCCTACGAGTGACACCAGTTTTGTGTTCACCTGGTTTGGTTACATACAACATGTAGCATGTCTGTACTTTTAAAAAAGCACACAAAGAGTCAACACCATGACTGGAACCTGCCCTAATAGATTTCTGTCAGTTTTATCTTTGCAGACAGTTTTATAAATGGTCATGTGGGCCTGGGGTCTCAGGTAGATGGCGCACACACACACAAAACAGGAAACTTTGATATTCCACTACCCTTATTCCTGCTGGTTCTCTGCAATAAGAAAATAAATAAAGATGCTTCTCTTACTGGATGTCTGTTGATACAAAAGCCAAAGTTAAATGTTAAAGACACACAGCTGAAAACAGAACTCCTAAAGAAGCTTCATCAATTTCAATGGAAATTGCTACTATCATTATTATTATTATTACTATTATTACTACTGTTACTGTTTTTATTTTACCGTTACTATTTTATTTTTACCCTACGTTTCCATCGGTTCTGCTGTTCACAGTGCATTTATTTGGGAAATATGCAAGTTATCAGCAGAGCCAGTTTTCAGCACACCCTGATTTTAAGGAAAAAGCTCATGGACTGCCAAGGAAGTTCTATAAGGTTCCAGAACGTCAGTTCTCCTAATCACATCCCAAGGAAAACTCACCTTGTCAGGACAAAGGGACACCCCAGCCCCGGTCTCTGGGACAAGGACACGAGGAACACAAGACACAACCTAAGGGAAAGACGGATATATTCTATAGAGATATATGTCGTTATATATGTCCCTCGGTGGGAGGATGGGGATGGACCCGTCCCCCAAAACCCCCGTCTCTCGGGGATGGTACCGCCCGTTCCCGCCAGCTCACAACGGGCACACGGGCTGGCCCATTTCCTACCGGGGGAGTACCGACCGCGGCGAGCTCTCCTTTCCCTGACACCGATGGTTCCGCCCGCCCGTTCGCGGCCGAAGGCGGCGGACGCGCCCACGCGGAGGAAAGGGGGGAGAAGCGCGGCTCCCCCAGCACTGACCTGTTCCCGCCGCCGCCGCGCTCTGCCCGCCGTCCGCGGGGTCCTGGCAGGGCCGCGCCCGCCCAGCCCCGCGCCGGGCCCGCCCGCCGCCAGCGAGGCAAATAATAAACAGAATGTATTGATTATTGCCATAAATAAGTACCGACCTCAGCCCGCAGCGAGCCTGCCGCCGGTCGGCGTCCGGCAGCCGCGACAGGCAGCGCGGGGGACAGCCCGCAGGGCCCTGAGGGCGCGGGGCGCACCCTGACATGGGTATGGTTATAAATTATATAAATTACACCCGTTCTATCCATTTTATCCCTATTGTTATACCTGCTACAGCTTCTTTATCCTATATATGCAATATGTAATCATACCTTATGTGGATATGATAATAAATCATGTAAATTATATCCCTTATATCCTATATGGACATGTTTGTATCCGTAGCCATGCACTATGGATATTCATAAACTATTTATCAATAATATATCAATAATCTGCATATTATGGATATATTATGCCTTGTATGGATATTATACATAATAATATATTAATATACCGATATTATGGTATTTATACAGATATGTAAACGTTATATACAAAATGCTATCATATTCATATATGGATATATTCTACCCATAATATCTCCACGGTAACTAGTATATATTTATATATACATATACATACATATATATATATATATATATATGTGATAACTGGATATTTGGAAGAAATTATTCCCATTATACATCTACAATTTAATGTTTTAAATGACATCCATATGTCCATAGTGATAATATAACATAATTATATTATAATCCACTTATTATATTGATATATGAATAGATGAATAGATTTTATACCTATAACTCCACATTTATATGTTTATATATTTTTGTAACATGAATTTTAACCTACGAACGCATTAATTTTATATATTTTTACAAGCTATCACTAAGGTGCATAGACATGCAATAACTTTATTTTGCATGTTCCTTGTTTTTTGCAGTTTCAGCCACAGCGCTGTTCCAGAGCTGCTGGAAGCCACGTGAGGGGACAGCAGCAGTGTGGTTATGCCCTGGCTGTCCCTGCACTCCCTGCTCGTTCCCTGCACACCTGATCCTCTGATGCTGCCCCACTTTGAATCCCAATTTTTCACCAATGCCAGGTGAAGCTTTTCCCAGTTTTGCCTCCAGTGCGAGATTCCTGCTGCTCCTTCTCCCTGCCCGTGTTCCTGCAGCCCCTCTGGAAGCAGAGCAAGGAGAACATCACTTTTCACCCGTGTTATTTTAAAGCTGCTGCTTGCAGTCTTTAGTGCTGGCCTTTATTTCAGTTAGGACAAATTAAGTTTGGATGCAGAAATGGGGTTACAGCCTCGCTGTGCCTCAAATCATTCAGCACTCACTCCCAGTGCCACAGCCACGGAAACATCCACCGCCGCTTTTCTTTCCAAAAAAATTCCATAGGAATACAGAATGTTCCACACACACATTGCCCCGTTTCCACCAAAGACAGACCTGTGAGAACAGCTGAGCCTCAAGGCTGTACCCTCGTCACCTCTGACTGACACAAAGATCATCATAGAGAAATTACTTCTAACAGATCCACAGGTTGTAAAACCCAGGGATCCTGAAGATCCTGTTCTGCCTCAAGACAGCATTGCCACGTCTCATTGGGTTTGCTACATAAACCAAAATACAGCTCCACAGCAGAGGTGATATTGCCACATGCCACAGGGATGAGGAAAAAGTTACACATTTCATAAAAGAGCAGTAACTCTGGTATCTGGAACAGGATGGAGCAGAGTTTTGAGATATCCCCACTGTACGGAGAGACAGAGAGAGAGAGAGAGAGGGAGTTGGGAAAGAGAGTGCTTAACTTGGAAATTCAGGATTTATTTACAAAAATCACAAGAGAAAAGGAAACAACATGAACCTCTCCTCCTGGATGTACTTTACTCTGCAAAAACCTGTGATTGAAGATCACATTTAAATGCATTTACATGTTTTACATATTCTTCTTCATATACAAGAGCATATGCTTTAGTCATCAAGACATTGGGAGAAAAGATGATTGGCTAAGCTGCTTTAAAATAATGAAACTGCCAGGTTTCCCTTGGCCTTCCCTCTTTAAAATTAAAGTCAAACACTTTAGCAGAAGAACAGACAAAGAATTCTAACTTCTCTGTACAGATACATGAGAATCACCTTTTCAGACCTAACTCAGCAGTCTTAATTGAGACAAGACTGGTAGGAAAGCAATTAGGAGCATCCTCTCCCACAGAACTGCAAAGTCACACACACAGTTGCACTTTCAAAGCTGTTAATTTAACAAATGATGATGATGATGATGACGGAGGGCAGGAGAAGGAGCACTAACAGAAGAGGCTGCAAATTCGGGGTTTTCCCAAAGAAATGCAATTGCAAAGTGCAGGGTATTCACCTCCCATGGTATTCCCCTCCCATGTTTCCCAGGAAGCTCAGAATACAAACAGGTCCCCACTTTGACCACAGTGATCACCACGCAGAGTTTAATACATATTTTAAAAAGTATAACAATTCTTGACAGAAAAGTAACAAATACTAATCACTAATATCCCCAAAGTTAACACAGAGTTACTCAGCTTTAAGTACAGCTTTTTTTTCTTAATTTTTAATTTTTTTTTTTCTTTTAATTATGCACTGCAATTGCACCCATTTTCTACTGACTTTACCATCAGTATGAAATACTGATTTGAAGACAAAAATCCCCAATCAAAGCAGAAAAATCCAGCTTCCAATGTTAACCTGAATCAGGACTTTACCCAGCTGATTTTATCTCCCTCCATATCACAGCTGGACTTCAAACCTTTATAACAAGTATTCTTTATGACATGCTTTCAGAGCCTAATTCACATTCTCTTAAACAGTTCCGTGGTAGTAATTGAAATGGAAACAAACACATTGTTGTTTTCCTCAATTTAAAAACAAATTGGAGAGCGTACTGAAGGAAATTCATCCCTGAGTAACAAAGCATTTAAAAGCTGCATCCCATTGCCAGTCACTGCAACATCCTATGACATTTACTCTAATAATTAATCAACACTATGAACAGGCAGCAACAGAACTGGTCACAGTCCAATGTGTTTGCAGCATTGTTGCATTGATCCCATGATCCTGCTTAATGAAACTGCAAGGGAACATTAGGAAATGGGATAAATAGAAACAGTGTCTTTTATTATTTTAAGTTGAATGTCAGATTGACAGCTAAACCGTGCTGGATCCCAGGGAACTCAGAGCAGTGGTGGTCAGCAACTGGCTTCTTTGGATGTCCAAAGGGTTTCCACGGGGTGTCTTCAGCCAAACAGCAGGAGGAGAACAATTGTGATGGAGTTCAGGGCTATTAATGGCACTGCAGAGTTGGGGAAAAAGGGAAATTAATAGTGAAGATTTTGCTTTCCACATCACAAAATGACAGAGCTTCATATAACGTTGATAGAAGGAGCAGAACCAGTCAAAACTTTAGAAATACATTTCATTTTCCTATGTAAAGTAGGAACCAGTGGAAGGAGTCAGGCTCAAAGACATTAGTAGAAAGCAGCAGCAGAAGTATTTTTTCCACAGCATGTTTTAACTTTAACCCAGAGCCTTTAGTTCTGTTTTAACTTCAACACAAATAACTGTCTCCAAATGAAAGTAAATGATCTAAAATTCAGCTTATATCCTTGGCTTTACTGTGCTTTAGAATAAATTTTTTGGGTTTTACTCAGTGGTGGGCAAGACAGGTTAAAATTTGTTACTCCCTCTCTACCATCATCTACAAAATGAATTTTTGGTGTCCTTCATAATGAAGAACTATCAGTAACTTAAAAATTAAGTATATTTTTTTCCCCATCTTCTGAGGCATGTATTTTTTCCCCATCTTCTGAGCCTGGCTTACCTTTCAGAAACTTTGGAATTACATTTCCCTCACAGATATTTCCCATAAAGTTGGATTTAGACAAAGTGATTGACACTAACTGCACGCTTCGGTTGATCACCAAACTTCCTCCCAGCTGCCAAACCCCAAGGGAATGCAAAAGCAGGAGAAACACAAGCCAGAGCCAGGGAGTGGTTTTGCATTTTTACCAGAATTAGGGCACTTTAGGCAGGGCCTGCACCCTCTCACAGAGAGTCCAGGCCCGGATGAAGTATAGATTGGTGCAGAAAACAAGACGTTACAGACTGTAATAATAATCATCATAATCATAATGATAATAGTAAATATTGTGCCCTTACCTCTCATAACTGTTCGTATCGATCGAATGAGGTTTGTCAGCTGTGCTTTAATTCCTGGTTCCTCTCCAAATCCTCCAATCCCTTGATCGCTTCCCCAGCCAACTGGGTCACATAAAAACAGACACACACTTTAGGAAAAAAACCCCAAAACCACACAACAAATGCTGCAATTTTAGCGAGCAATCTATCCTGAAAGTAGTTTATACTAACACAGATAGCCCAATTAGCCTCATCTCACGAGCATATTTTAGTACAGTAGGCTGAAAGCTGTTAAACCTCAAATCCACGTTTCTGTAAAGAAAACCCTCACCTTTTTTAACACACCACTGTTCCCTGCGTGCCCAGACTAACAGGTGAGTTCATCTGGGCTTAAAAAATAAAACAGCTGTCAAAATAAACCCTAAACCAACTGCACCCTGTTCATAGTACTGAAAACAAAATACAAATAATTGCTGGGTGTGAAGTGGTGATGCTTCAGCACTGAAAAAGGGGCCACAGGAGAGAAAAAAGGCCAGCACAAATTCCAAAATTGGGGTGATGATTTTTCCAACTGCTGTAAAAAAAAAGCTAGAACTTTTGAGGAAAAAAAAAATTGGGAATTTTTCTGAGTGTAGCAGAAGTCCTGAAGTTTTACGATGCTCAGACACAGCATGATGGGACCAGGGATGTGTCCAGGGATTTCTAAGACCTGCTGGCTGCAGCCCTTACCATTTTGGGAAGGAGCAGAGCAAGGAGCAGCTCTCAATACACCAAGCTCCACTGCCCAAGCTGTGCATTTCTTTCTCCAAAGACCACTTTTGAGTGATTTCTGTTCTCTCTTTCTCATCTCCCTGGCACCAAACTGAGGGTGGTGGGCGAGTCCTCTCCCTCACCAGCCTTGCTAGCTGCTGCTGCTTCCCACTGGGATGAGCCTGGAACTATACTCTCAAGTCTCACGAGCTGACAAGTGGCTTCACCCATCCCACTAGTACCCACATCTCCCTTTTTTAATTCCAGCTGCTCGTCAGGAGAGCCAAAGAAAAGCCCAAACTCAAACTGAGCAGATCCCTTGAAACAAATCTAGCAGGGGAAAGGGATGCCCTTCTGCACTCCTGCCAACAACCCGGGCTCAGCCTGACGTGGAGAAGTCAGGATTCTCCACACGAGTGAACTGGGAAACCTTGGATCGTAGGCCTTTCTTTATTTTTTTTCCCACGGCCTTGCAGATCTTTGTCGGTGGATTTTCTGTTTTGCAGGGCTTTGGCTTCTTTTGAAGGGCAAGGATGCCCAGCCCCGGGAATCCCACAGACCGCGAGTCGCCATCTCATCAAGAACCAGGCACGGCAAGAAAAAAGGAAACATTTGTACGACACCAAACACTCCGAGGCGCGGCACGAAGGCCGTGAAACAGTTAAAAATGAACAGGGAAAAAAGGACAATTACAGGGAAAAAAAAAAAAGAGAGACAAAGGTACGACGAAAACGGCTGGGAATTCATCACCAAAGCCCAAGCCCACCCCGATTCCCAAAGCCCTCCCCCGTGCGCTGCTGCTCCCACCGGCAGGGTGCGGCGGCGGGGCCGCGGCCACCGCGTCCACCCCACCAGGCCGGGCGGCCCTCCCAGCTCACCGTGGCGGAGGAAGCGCTCCTCGTGCAGCACGGCCACGGCATTGACGATGAGGAGCGAGGCCTGCAGCAGCGAGTAGAGCGTGAACGCCATGGCCCGGCGGGGCGGAGGGGGGGCGGCCCCGGGAGCAGCACCGGCAGCGGGAGCGGGAGCGGCGCCCGAGAGAGACGTGGCGGGGCTGGGGGCGGGGTCTCGCTTCACGGCCGGGAGGGGGCGTGGCCTCAACTCAGGGTTTGGGGCGGGGTTTAGATGGGGCGTGGCCTCTCCGCGGCTGCCGCGCGTTGGGCGCGCAGGGAGGGGGCGTGGCTTTATGGGGCAGGACAGGTATGGGGCGTGGCTTGAGGATCCCGGCCCAATAGGGCGTGGCGTGGTTTGTTGGAGGCGTGGCCTCCCGGCAGAGCCGTGCCCGCCCCGTGGGGCGCGGTCTAGAGGGGGCGTGGCCTCCTGCTGCCGGCAGTCGCGATCGAGTCCGGGCTCGCTCGCGGATCCCTCGGGACCCAGAACCGCTCGGAGCCCCTCGGGTCTGGCCGAACCCTGCGGACCTCGCAGAGCCCCGTGGATTCCTCGGCGCCCCTGGGATTCCTTGGAGCCTCTTGAGTCCGCTGGGTCTATGGATCCCTCTGGTCAATGGATCACTTGGATGCCTGTGGATCCCTCGAATCCGTGGATCTCTCGGAACCCCGTGGGTCCCGTGGAGCCCCTCGGGTCCGTTGGATCCGGGGATCCCTCACGCCCATGGATCATTTGGAGCCCTGTGGAGCCCTCGAGTTCGTGGACCCCTCAGAACCCTGCGGGTCCTTCGGAGCTCCTTGGTTCTGTCGGGACCATGGATCCCTCGGGTTCATGGATGCCTCGGAGCCCTGTGGTTCCATCAGAACCCGTTGGATCCGTGAATACCTTCAGTCAATGGATCCCTTGGAACCCTGTGGATCCCTTGGGTCCATTGGTCGTCCAGAGACCTCTGGATCCCTTGGGTCCACTGATCTGTCAGAGCCTCTTGGGTTCATTGGGCCCATGGATCCCTCGTGTCCATGGAGCCCGTGGAGCCGTGTGGATACCTCGGGGCCATGGATCCCTTGCAACTGCATGGGTTCCTAGGAACCCCTTGGGTCCATCGGATCTGTGGATCCCTCAGGTCCATGGATCCCTTGGAACCCCGTGGTTTTCTCAGGCCCGTGGTTCCTTCGGAGCCCCGTGGGTTTCCCAGATCCGTGGATCTCTCGGAGCCCCATGGACCTCACAGCGCAGGCTGTGACATGGGAAGCTCCGTTCGCTGTGCAGCAAGTGGCCTTTGGATTCGGAGCAGGAGTAAGGCTCATCCTCATCCTCCTCCTGCACCGTTGGTGACGTGGTAACGTGGTGTGTGCCAGCAGCAGCGAGACACTGCCCGGCGTGGGGCAGCCCCCGTGGCCATCCTTCATCAGCAACCCAACACAAGCAGAAATTAATAAAAATACATAAACACTGCGCGTGCAAAAATACATGAGTTTATCCTTATATGTATCCGTGCGGACAGCGGGGTTGTTGCGTGTGTTTTCTCAGCACATGGGTTTTCCTTCTGTCCTTACTGGGGTTTGTTGCGGGAGGTCAGCCCAGATCCCAGATGCCATTTATCCAGCACATAATCCAAAACACACTCCAAAAGAAACAATTACCTTTTATAGCGGATTGATCTCTGCTTCTCCAGTCAAATTACAAAATAACCACAACTGGAGCTCAGAGATACTGTATCCCTGTTATACCTGCTGTAGTAACACACTTATCCCTGTACTGTAGTTACACAGTTATCCCACAGTTATACAATAACAGTGTAGTTATTGATGCACAAATAGACATTTTTCCCCCTTTGCCTCTTTCAGTCCCATTGGCTGAAGGGGGTGGTTTGCATAACCCCCCTGATTTCATTTCCCCGTAATCTCACAGTACACAAGCCCCTTAACTCGGATGGTTGGTACTTCTATGACTCAATCAGGGCACAGTGATTTGTATGATCCCTTTGTGGTGGTTATTGGACCCCTCTGCTGCAATAGAGGCGACAGCCTTGTGCTCAGTGTGGTGGACTGCAGAGACCCCATCTCGATTCCCTGCCCTGCCACAGACTTCTGACACAATCTGGGCAAATCATTCACCCCTTGTCAATATTGTGTCCTCATGCTCTGTGTGAAGATCCCCTCACCAGCAAGTGATGATCTGATACTTCAATTAATCAATTGTCATGAGTATGTAATCAATAGATGCTCAGACAGCACGTGAATCAGCTGTGAAGAAACCCACACCTCAGCTTCTTCTTGTGTTCATCTTTCCTTCCCAAAACACCCTCTTTGGTACAGTCAGTGTCACAATATTGTGCATCTTAATAGTCACTACTATTAAATAACATTGCGTTTTAATACTGGAGTAAAGAAAAAACACCCTGCCACCAGAACCACAGCATATTTTCTTTACAATTTATTCCCAAAATTACTGCTATTGTACAAGGGAGATAGAGAATCAAGGATGTTCATCAGAGTTCTGTCATCTGGTCAAAAGCATTTGTCATTTCAGCCTCAAAAAGAAATACAGTTTCAATTCAGGGTAGTGACTAAAACATCTATTGCAGTTCCAGTGAGCTCGATATTTTTAAAGCCTGTACTGAAGTGTTTACTTACGTGAAAACTCATTGTTTTTCCCAGATGCTGGCTTTGGTTCTGAAAACTCTCATGTGTATGATTAACTTCATAAGCCAGCAGTTAGTGGGAACCCTTGAGTGTAGTGGCACATGTGAGCACACACTTGCAGGCTCAGGAGCTCCAGCACAGCTTCTCTATTTCTCATCTAGGTTTTTAGATTTGCTATGACTGCAAAACTCCTAAAACTCACCATTTTATCATTTTGAAATGGAGCCATTTCTAATTGCCTGGTTCCCACTCCCCCTTCCCCCACCCCAAATTTGTGGGGGCTTATAATTCAAGTAATCTTTTTCCATCTGTAAATAACAAAACAAATCAAAAAAAGCTTTTCTTGAATTTCCCAAACTCCATACAGGCAGAAAAAGTCAATATTGGCGCGAAAAATTTAATCCCAAAGGTCACTACAAATTTTTCAGAAGTTCTGAGTGATGACATGTGATGGTCTCACAAACAGAGCTGTCTTTTGTCCTCAGATATAACTTAGGGCATTCTGGCAGTGATTCTACAATTAAATACAGATGAATATGGGGCTCACTAACATAGATATCTAATAATCATCATGATCAAGTAGCATTTCCTGGGCTACCTCCTTACGGTATACAAGCTATAAATAAATAAATGCTAACCTCAGTGAAGAGCTAATGCTTAGAGTTATGGCCCTGAAAAAAAAAAAAAAAAAAAAAACCGGGGTTTTTGCAATAAGTACACAAGTTATGGCTTAATATTTTTACCCATAATTAAGATGTATTTCGAAAGAGCAGCAGCCATCAAGCTGACATAAACTTGACATGATTTTCCCCTTAATGAAATCCATCATGGCAACTTAGCAACCACAGGAGTCTTATCTCTGAATCATGTTACGTGGTTGAAGGGAAAACCAGATAAAGTTGCTTGCATTAGAAGGAAAGGGGCTTTTTCTTTGTTTCATTAAGGTGTCATGTTTCAGTACAGTAAATTCCCCTGGTGTCATCTGCAGGGTGCATTCAATCACCATAAAGGAGAGTTTTAAACCACCTTAGAGATGTCAAAGGATTAAACTTTGGGCTGGTGAAATATTGTGAAGGCACTGCTGTTTTTCATGCTCAGTTTCTTGTTCAATATTTTCAGGCAGAGCACATCTGTCCAGGTCTCACTGTCCCCTACACTTAATGAGAACCCAGCTTGTTGAGTGGGAGATTTTGGGGTTAACTGAGTTTAATCCTGATGAGAAAATACCAGGAAAAAAGAAAACCTGTTATGACTTCAGGTCCTATACCCTTCACCTCGCTTGCCAGCACCATCTTATGATTTTATTTTCTGAACTAGCTTTAACCATTTCCTTCTCTGAGCACTGTGCATACCCAGATACATATGCATCAGTGAGAAAATTTTGGGGGCCCAGAAAAGTCTGGAAATTGGGCCCAACGATCCCAAGAAATGAAGAAATGCATTTTGTTGGTGGCAGCTTTTTACCGACTCCTACCATAAGTAACTTCATTAACTGAAATACTTTGCGTAGGTGAAAAAAATTAGGTTCTTTGTCTGAGCCAGGTGCTATAAATAAATCCAATAGCTAAATTTCACAGTCAGACTAAAGCCTTTGTCATCCCTCACTCATCACACCTATAGCACTGTTGAAGAGCTGTAAAGTTAATGGTGCATCCGACTGATGTCACACCTTCCTGGTAAACACAAATTGAGTGACTGGTTTAATGCCCAGATGGGTTTTTTTTTAAACCACCCAAGCTGGGAATACAGTAAGATTTTGTACATGTGGGAGAATGTATGTCTGGTCCTCACCTGTCAGCAGCTGTGTACAGAAAAGATCCTTGCCTTATCCATGACTCATGGGTCACCTCTGCCCTTGCTTATTTGAGAACAGCCATCCCTCCAAAAACACAGCCTGACAGCCTTCCTGAGATTTGAGACGACATTAATAGGGCTTCATGCACTGAAAAAAGGACTGCCTGGAGATTGAGGAACAAAATGGAAAACCATACACAATTCTGGATTTGCACCTAAATTTATCGATGCTGTTTCCCTCAGTTACCTGACTTGGTAACCATAACAGCCTTTAAGTGTCATTTGTTGCCTGGTTCTCTCTCTCTCACAGACACAGAAACAGACACACACACACACATACATGCTGTTCCTTGTCTTGCTACCACCAAGAGTACAGAATGGTCATAGAATCAGGGAATGGTTCGAGCTGGAAGGGAGCTTAAGGATCATCTCTGTGACATGACATTGTTCTATTATTATTGGCACACTTTGTGTTGCTTTTGCACTGGAATACACCAGTCCAGACCCAAACCCTGTCATGCTCAGTGCCATGCAGATATTTTTCAGAGGCAGGCATAGGGATTTTCCAATCCATGTCTGAGATGGAAGACAGTGAATATCTAAAGCAGGCCAACGTGGGGAGTGGGGCAGCAAGGAAACAAATGGATTTTTTCAGGGAATTACAAGTCTCTACTTAGCCCTGCCTCACTGCTGACAGACGGGCAGGATTTTCAGGCATGGAGGCAGCAGAGAGTCTTA